AAAAAAGCAATATAATAGGGTTTCATGAAGAGAATGCATGCAAGAAAAGAAAATAACATATTATGAGATAAAGAAATTTTACGGGTCCTCACAGCTTCAATCAAAACCATCTGGCAAAGTGCATCAGTGGCCATTAAATTTTCATGAATGTCTTTTTTCGGCCATCCATTTTTTTTTTCATTCAAGAAAGTTCAGTAACTAGTAGTACAGTTTGGCTAAAATTTTAGCATACTACGTATGTTAGTTCATGTCAAAAGCAGTTTTTATCCTAAAACTGCATGGTTAAAGAATTACAAGACTAAAGATAGAACACTTGAATAAAATTCCCCGTTTTGTGTGTGTTGTGCATGGTTGGTCAAATATACCTTAGAGGAAGAGGCAGCTTAGGGAACAAATGAGGTTTTTTTAAATCTTCTGGTTGAGTGATCATGTATAACATGTCAGCCCAGTCACGCTTTTGCTCCTCTGATTTGACAAAGGCCTACCCATATCCTTCTACATCTCCTGGTTCTTGACCATATTTGTTCTTTTAAGCCATCGGCAGATTGAAAAAATCTTGAACTTCTGATTTCAATTTCTCCACCAATGAAGAGCTAACTCCATGATTAATGAGCTGCTGACAGTTATTCTCATAAGTAATAGCGTCTGGATGGAACAGCACATAAGCAAATGTATCCTTTCAACTGATTTGCACTCGTAAAATTCAGGTAAAAGATGATTAAGTCATTCAACGGATTCATTTTTCATAGGACTTCGATTTCATTTCAAGATGGTTTCTTTTTTTTTTTTGGAACAAAAAAAAATGTGGGATGGTCTCAAACCTTGAAATAGGTAACCATAGAGTCTTGGTCTAGTGGCCACCAAGGAGAATTTAGAGTTCCTTTCTAGGATATTGGTTAGGGTTCAAACCTTACACCAAATCGACGGTTCAAACATCGAAATAACAACACTTGATAATTTAGTTTTGTAAAAAAGTTGTATAATCAAACTATTTCAAATATATAATAGCTTGTCACACAAATATGTGTTTGTCATACATTCAATCCTTGTATATATACCTGGAAAAAACCCCACTCCTTGCAAGCAGAATGCAGCTTCTGAAGCTCCAAATCACTTACCTCCTCAGCAGAACTAAACAAGCTTTGCATATCCACAACTGGTATTTGGTGGAAAGAACCACCGTTAGAGATGGTTGGATATTGGTCTTTGTCGGGGCGTATGTAACGAGTTGGAACAGAAGAGGGATTTTCCTTAGCCAACTCTTGGACAAAAGGAACTTTCAGAGACCCCCCAAGCTTTCTTGTCTTGGGATCCATGATTGTGGTTCTTTTCAACTTCAGTTCTAATTCTTGTATCTATCCACTGAATCCCTAGTTCAAAATATATATATTTTTTCGCACAAGATGTTTCATTAATCCAACATTGTTTATTATTAGTCGAAATGCAAGGTGCTAGGTTTGGATAATATAAAATATAAGTTCTATACGGAACTAATTCTAGGCTTAACAATGATGTCTAACCTAAAGAGCTGTTGTTATAATTAATTTCACGTAAATGCAGTTTTTCAAAGGTAACCTATGGTACCATATAGTACAAATTAAACCTTGTCAAATCTCTTGGGCCTACAAATTACGTTGATTTGTAGACCCATTGATAATTACCTCCACCTTGATCACATTCAAAAAAAAGCACAAGTTTTATCGCTTCGAAATTTTAAAATTGACTTATGATTAAGGGTCTATCAGCTACTGTCTTCGAAAATTGTTCATCACATGCACTTCATGATGTTATCCAAATTATAGATTTTCCTCAAATATTTATTGAAATTATCCTGGCCTTGCTACATGGAAGTCAAGTAGGAATTTGATGAAACCAGGAAACCAGGTTTGAGTGATGCCATTTCCAGCTTTGAGTGATGAAACCAGGAAGAAGTTCTATGCGGAACTAGATTATAGGCTGACAATGATGTCTTACATAATTAAAAAAATAGGTCCACTCTCCAATTATTCATGCCACCGTATGTCTTATTAATCAACATTGTTTATTATTAATCGAAATGTAACGTTCTAGATTTGGATTACAAAAGAAGTTCTATACGGAACTAGATTATAGGCTGACAATGATGTCTTACCAAATTTAAAAAATAGGTCCACTCTCCAATTATTCATGCCACCGTATGTCTCATTAATCAACATTGTTTATTAGTAATCGAAATGTAACGTTCTTGATTTGGATTATAAAAGAAGTTCGATACAGAACTAGATTATAAGCTGACAATGATGTCTTACCTAATTAAAAATGTGCTATTCCAATTAATTTCATCCATATTTCACCTAATTGCACTGTTTTAAGGATAGCCTATGATACCGAACTAAGTATGTCAGTGGATCGAATTTTACCTAAATCCAATCCAAACCCAGTATATATGAGTAGGGTTTAGGTTTAATTTATTAAACCCAAACCCTAACCAAACCCAAATACTGTAAAAGAGTCATGGATTTGGATAAAGTCTGGTTTTCTAAGATTTAGATCCAAACTCAAATCCAAATTAGACCCTACCTATACTCATGTAATATTCTATGTGTATGTATGTATCAGTAAATTTGGAAATGTTAGTCCCACAGACAACCAAGAGGGGGGGGTGAATTGGTTTGATTAAAATCTTAACCAAGTTTATGCACTTTTTCGTTAATGAAAATTTACCTTCCTTTTTAGTAATGATCAACCAAGTAGATTAGAAGACAATAGCAATATTGATCGGAGAAGCAAGTATAGATAAGCAATGAAGATTTTATTAAACAGAAATGTAAAATAGAGAAACAAACCAAGTGTCTACCAAGCTTTACCCAAACTTGAAGACCAAACACAAGGAAGAGCAACTTCTCTTTGATGAAAGTCGATCAACTAGATGTACAATGGAGGGAGCACTTCCTCCTTGCCCTAAGCCTCACTTAGTCAAGCCAAGAAGTTTTACAATCACTCAGAAAACCCTCAACAGAGCTACACTAAAGATCCTTTCACTCACAAAAGAAAAGCTCAACAGAAATTCACACCACTTTAAAATAAATCTGCTTTGGAGACTATTTTCTAGCTAAAATATCTCACTAGATCTTGTAAACAAAGTGTGCAAAAGTCCCTACTTCGTTTAGACCAGTTTTATTTTAAAGGGAACCAGAAATGGGCTTCATCAATGCTTCCAACGGATAGAAGGCAGCTGAAGAGTCAACTAGCCGTTGGGGCTGTCGGACGTCCGACGATCGAATCATCGTCCGAACCAATCGTCCGATGATAGCCAAGTTGAGGTTCGGACGTCCGATAAGTTCTTTGTCGTCCGACAGCACAGCGTCCGACCTTGGGCCGAGAGCTAGCAAGTTATCTTGGAATTTTTCGGACGTCCGATGCGATTGATTAGCGTCCGATGGCAAGCGTCCGATCCTTCCGGACATCCGATGCTTCTATGTGAGCGTCCGACGGTGCTTCCTTCCTGATGTTCTTCATCCTTTCGGACGTCCGACAGTTTCCTTTCGGCCGTCCGACCTGATTGTCCTGTTTTTGCTTCACATTTTGGTTGTTTTGCTTTTGATGACATATTCGAACCTGATTCTTGGATAGACAAAAACACTTGTTTTTGAAGAAGGTTAGATAAACATTTCAAAGTGCCAAGAATGACACACTTAAAAGACAATATCTTTGATCGGAACAAAACAATGCTTTCTTTGTTCCATCAGGCCTGATCAAAGTATTCACTTTCTTGGACTGTATTTCAAAGAACTTTTGTGATCATCAAAACCAAGAATAACATTCTCCCCCTTTTTGATGATGACAAAACAAAAGTTTGAAATGAAATTTGATGATTGCAATGAAAGCTCCCCCTTTCAAAATAGACAAGAACTCCCCCTGCCATAGTGAATCAAAGAACTTTTGAAAACCTCCCCCTCACTAGACTGCCCAACCGAGTTTAGACAATTATCCAAAAACATGACAATTAAGTAACACACAACCAACATATCACCAATTCAATCCATCAGCAAAATCCAAATTTAATTCCAAATTTAATTAAACCATCAATCAATTCAACATATCCAACATCATCAAATCCTCATCAATCCATTCTCCCCCTTTTTGTCATCACAAAGGACAAGCCAAAAACATCCATCTTATACACAAATACATCTTATCCAAAATGTAAACCAAAAACAATTCATGATAAACATCACCAGAATAAACAATTCATTCCATTCACAAACATCACCAGTACTTAAACATCACCAATAACTTCCATCAAGATACTTAGAAACATCACAGAACTTAAACATAAACAAGAATATCCATTATATTACACCACAGTACTTAGATCATCCATCAAAACACACCAAAAGAAACTTAGAATATCCATAACATAACATATTCTAAAAGAGACAAACAAAATGCAAATGTCCTAAATGATGAACTAAGTGGATCCAGGTGTCCTCCGAGAGAGCTGATATTGGTCAAGATCCTCCTCTTCAGTGTCTTCATTATCTTCAGCAGCTTCTACAATTGGTGCCTTGCCTTTGTCTGATGTGGAAGGGCCATGAGGAGTCACAGGAGTTGCTGGATTCGGATCTGGAACTGATGAACCAGGATCAGTGGTTCGAGGTTCTTTGTCATGTGAGACTGCCTCAACCACAGGTGGAGGAAAAAGAAGATTCTTTTTGTCAAGAAAGGCAGTTTGTTGCTCAGAAGACATGGTGAGCATGAGACCATGTTCTAGAAGAATAACATGCTGTTTGAGTTCTTGAAGAAGCTCAAGTACTTCATTACTGGAAGAGGAAGATGCTTTAGTGGCAGACTTCCTAGGGTGAATGGGAGTGAGTGAAATGGGTGAAGGATCATGTGCCCCAGTCTTAGACCTAAGTTCACTTAGAAGATGCACCCTATATAAGCCCACAGATTATGCTTTGAAAACAAGATTTTTCCTTGTCAAAATACCAGGAACTGATTATCAAAGGGAAAAAACTTTGATGGTCGAGAAAGTCAACAACATAGATTGATACTTCTAGTGGGAAAAAGGGAAAAAAATATAGAGGCGAAAGCTAAGAAACAGAAAATCTAGCTCCAACCTTAAGGATCTTGAGTCCGGAGGAGACTCTTGATACTCTGATTTCTTCTGCACCACTGATGCTATGAATTATAATGGTCTCACACTTTCAAAGTGAAATCATAGCGTCGCACCCTCTCTCTTTTAAAAAAAAAAACATCTTTTCTGCTTGGACCACTGGCTTTCCGTTCTCCTGCTTTTGTTTGCCATTTTCTATATCGAGTTGGTTGGATGTATTATTACGATAAAGAAGATGAAAGGAACAATATAAGAGCCACAAACATGGCGAAAATGACAGGAAAGAAAAAAAATAAAATAAATAAATATAGAAGTAGGTCGAGGGAGAAAAAATGCAAGTCTAACCTTAACCCTCTTGAGGCCGGAGGAGACCCGTAATACTGTAATTTCTTCTACACCGGGAAAAAATTTACATCACAAATATATACATATTATATGATAAAATTCGACTGGTAAACCTCCAAAAATCCAAAAGGCTAAAGAAGTCTTGATGATGAGAAAGAAAAATAGTCTTACAAGTAAAAAAATCCAGACCATTGTTGTTCTTCTTGTTGCTCTCGGTCAAAATAAAAGACAAAAACCAAAGGAAAAAAAAAGAGGAAGAAGATGAGAGAAATAAGAGGCTGATTGAAGGGAAGATAAGGTGAAGAGTGAGACAAATCGACAATATGATGAAGAAAGGAGAGGAAAAATGGGCATTTCCGACTCCTCGGTCCCACCCCATCAGGTAATCACGATAAGGTTTAGGAAAAGAACAATAAAAGGGCACAAACATGGTCAAAATTACAAAAACCCAACCAAACATTAATAAGCGGGCACACAAATCTCCAAATTTACGGGCAAAACCGGACCACCAAGGGCATTATAGAGAAAGAAAATGCAAAGTCAATATCAGAAAATTCTGGAGCCACAAATTTGACCTTTATGCCACACTGGAAAGACCAAAATACCCCATAAAGTCATCAAAATTACCATCAAAACTGCCCATACTTGCACTGTAGCCAACGGTCGTTCCCCCTTTTATATATTTTAGATTTAGATTAGATTAGATTAGATTAGATGTGTGTGTACGTGTGAATGCGCATGCGAGCAAGCATAAAAGGGTAAAATTCAATATTTTGCTCCAAAGTCCACACAAGACCAAATAATACATTTTCTCCTCACTAATTCAATTGGATCAATAACTATAGGAAACCTTCGATTGTTTTTAACGCCATGTAATCCCACAAATAGATGCCATCATATAGATGTCAACACATGAAAAACTATGTTTTTAGACTCGGACTGAGTATCAACTCGTCGAATTCAAGAGTCAGGGGTTAATGGATTCGATCGGGGTTAAATCAGATAACGTCATAAATAAAAATTTTTAAAAATTTAAATATTGTATGTAAAATACTTAAGCACATGTTAATATTAATAAATGTATATTCATATATATTTGATGTTTCAAATATATTTAACAAGAAAATACAAAGAACTTAGAATGATCAAGTAGCAATTTATATTATTTAATGGACATTAACAAATTTAGAATTAAAATTATGGACTTAATTGAAAAATAACACCAAACTTTAGGACAATATTTATAAAGTATGAAATATTTGAGGTATATTAATAATTTTTAACAACCTAGGGGTCAAAAACATAATACTGAAAATGCTTTGACTTTTTTTAAAAAAAAAAAAACTTTGACACCAATAGATTCTTCCAGTTTTGTTGGTCTCACTCAGTCAAATCTGATTTTTGACCTAATTTGACCGAATTTCTATCTATTCGATTTTTAGGATTACACATATTAGACACTTGGCCGATTTTCAGTTCGATCGATCGAACAACAGATCCAGTCCAAGTTTAAAAACACTGATGAAAGACACACGAAGAGATAATGCTCTTAGAAGTGATACTTCATATGTCTAGCTCATTTGGTCCATGGACTGGATGAGGTTTGGACAAGTGTATTAGGAATATATTGATAAGATTTTATTTTACGTATTTTTAGTGTGTTTTATTAGTTAATTTTGGTTTGATTATTTAGTTTTATAACTAAAATAACTAAGGTTTTGGTAAAAAACTACATTTATGTTAAAATGGCTAAACATTGCATTTTATGGATTTTTATGGTAAAAACTTCATATTTTGTAGGTTTAATGATTCAATCATCAAATGAAGTGCATTGAGAAGATATTTGGATGATTGATGATGATTAAAGTGGTGAAAATAAAATATGAAGTGTAAAAGGAAGAAATGCAATTTGAGGACAAAAATCAAGAAAAGTCAGCTTTGACAACTCAGACACATTTTCGTATTTTGACTATATCAGGAGCTACAATGATCGGATCAAGGTGATCTTGGTACCATTTTGAAGCTAAGAGATATATCTGCATTTGGTATGAAGACATCAAAGTCCAATTCAGCCGTTTTCTTGGTCAAAAGGTCGAAACACAGAAACTTATCTGGATGGTCGAAAGCTGAAGCCCAGAATTGACCAGTCTATGGTATTTTGACCATATCTCCGTCCACCGATCTCCAAATTAGATGATTCTTGAAGCATTGGAACTCTAATTCAAATGGCTACAACTTTTGTGTTTTTCACAAAAGTCAGTTCGGCCTTCATCATGGAGAAAAATGCAGTTGAAGTGAGGTCAAAAGTAAAAACGTGTCTGGCAGCCGAATTTCTGTAATTTGCTCAGCCATTTTTCTCATCTTCACACTACTTTTCCAGCTAGAGTTGGAGAGAAAACGTAGGCTGCACATGCTTCAGAAGACATAAGGAAGAGATATAGCCAAGGTTCCAAGTCAAAAGCCATTATTTTTACTTCCTTAACAAATTCAGATTTGGAGAATCATAGCAGAAATTTTTGACTGGTAAGGGAAGGACTTTTCATCAGCTTATATGCAGAGACATTTGAGGTCTAAAAAATGATACGGGAGAAGCTTGAAGAGTGCAGAAATGTAGTTCTTCCATTTCCTTAGTGTAGGATAGTGTAGTAAGTGTAGTTCATCCATTCTTGTATAATGGCTAGATTAGGATGAAAATGGAGATGAAGAAAGAGAAGTTGAAGCTCAAGTGACATGGGTTATCTCTTCTCCAACTCTTTATCTTTGTATTGGATTCTTAAATATAGTTAATATACAAGTTCTGGAATTTATGTTATTTATCTTTAAAGTTTATGCCTTGGGTTTGGTTGAACTTTCTATAATTGTTAGTGTTTATTATTTGGCTATTTGATTGCTAGTATTTGAGCAAGTTATTTAGCACTTTGGCTCTTGAAATCATGATTAATCTGTACCATTAATTGTGATTATCTAAGGTGTTATTTCTGCAATGAAAATTGAGATTTAACATTAGTTCAAGAAGTGCTAAACATAGGGAGTACACTCACGAAAGTAGAGGTGCACCTATGTGGTTTTTAGTGATTCATTTCATGTAATTTCACTGAAGAAATGAACTTGTAGCTAATTTCATAACCATGAGAATAGGTATGGATTAGTTATAAGTATAATTGATTCACTACGAAAGTAGGATTCAAATGCATAAGGAAATTACACCATAATTAGCCTAGATGTAGTATTCAATGATCCAAATATAGCACTTGCATGAGTAGTTAGGGATACCACAACCTAAGGAGCTTTCATTTGTTATTTTGTATAATTTCAGTAGGTTAAATTTGTTATAATTCATTGATAGTCTAAATAATAGAGAAGCTTTAGTAATACCGGTAATTGTTCACTCTTCCCTGTGGGATCGACCCGATATATACCCTAAACTACTAGTTGATCTGTATACTTGCAGTGAACGGGTGTAATTCGGTATTTTTTAGCTTGCACGTATGTAAAATACCCGTCAAGTTTTTGGCGCCGTTGCCGGGGAAGATTTGGCAATATCGGTGTGAAGAGCAACTTTATTAGTTTAGACATAATATTAGTTATATTGTGAATGTTATTTTCTGTTATTTTAGTATTTTATATGTGTATGTGTTTTATCTAGTCTTCTTACTAATTTTGCTCTTAAGTTGTTTAAAAGCAATTTTAGGTAATGAGGAGGGTAGGTCAATTTGGAGGACAAAGCTTGAGAAATGAAAGATTGGCAATGGATGGTTGCCTAGTGCAAAGCTCCTTCAACAGAGGTAACCAAGAATTTACTGAAGTATGTCTTTTGAAGATGGTTTAAGGTGCTTAAAGGCAAATTTGATGTTATGATGTACAAGTTCAAATGGACACAATTATGCATGAAATTGAGCAAGGGAGGAATTTTAATGCTTTTAATTCTTATCATGTGATTTGTGACTTGTGTGGAGGTTATCATGCAACTAATACATGTATGCAAGCACAAAATGTGGATTACTATGATGAATTAGAGCATTACAATCCTTATTTTGATCAATACAGTGCTAATTGGAGCAATTCTCTTTCTTATGGTTGGGAAAATCAATGTGCATATAGTGATTATCCATATTTTTATGATTACCAATCTGAAAATGTCCAATATAAAGCAAAACCATCTTGGGAGTTAGCTATAGAAAAATTAGCTAATGTGACTTCCGACCGTTTTGATAGGATTGAGAAAAGAATAGATGAATTAACTTCTCACTTTGGCAGAATAAATGAGCAATTGAATGCATTGTGTGAGGTTATTTCTTCTAATAAATTGCAAAATGATCCTAGCATGAATGGTAGGAATGTTGTATGTGAAAATGGATTGCATGTTGATGAAAATGATGAATCTCAATTGTGTTTCAATGAGCAAATGTCCATTTCACAAGATAATATCTTTGGAACTAACTTTGAGTCTCAAGAGGTGAGTTTTAATGACTCATTTTTCACCCCTCTTGAGGAGTGCATTGAAAGTATAGGTTCTAAGGGTATTGCTGCCCAAGATACTCTCATGGCATTCCGTTGGTAAGTTCTCAAGTGGTGCATATTCAAGGTAATATTTATGAAACACTTGGAATAGGTAAGTCACTTCCATTTCTCCATATCATTAGATCATGTGACTTTTGCTATAAAGTCACCTTTAATGATCCACCACACCAAAATGGTGGATTATTCGTTAACTAAGCCTCCTTGAAAAATGAAGGTGAAATAGTCAAGCTATTGACTATAAAGAAGCGCTTATTGGGAGGCAACCCAATGTTTGTTTAAGTTTATGTTATTTTGGGGTGATTTTATGTTTAAAGTATGTGTTTGAGTTATTTTGTTATTTTTCATTTGTAGGTATTGGAAATGGAAGCAAAAGTGACCAAATGAGGTGAAAAAGGCGAAATTTGATCAAGGAACTCAACCCCTCAATTTGAGTAATTGTTGTTTTTGATTTGTTAGAAGGGGTTAAAATGCATATTTTGATCATTTTACATGTGCATGTATTGAGTATTTTAACAAACAAATGATCTATGATGCATTTTGAGTGTTGGGATACCAATGGTAATTTTTCAAAGTTGGCTTTCTGCAAAAATTTCGCAGAAGAAAACGCATTTGGGCTGAAAACGCGCCTTAGAATCGCGTTTTCCATAATCGCGTTTTCAATTCTGCGCCTATACTGAAGAAAACGCGCCTTCAAAACGCGACAGGAAGTCGCGTTTTCTACCAAGTCGCGTTTTCCAGCCTGATCAAAAATTGAAAACGCGCCTTCAAAACGCGACA